CAATCCCTCTCTCTCTCTGCTCTAAAGATTTTGTTTTTTTACTTGGGGGCATTTGTGTCATTTTATATACTAATATACACATGAGTAAATTAGATTAAATGGAAGAAAAAAAATAAAAATAACAGTATCAAAATTAGCTCTTTTGATAAGTTTTACCGAATGAATGTCAAAAGTGAGAAAATCTTCAAATATTGAGGGATTTCATCAAACTTTTTTTACAAGGGGATTTTTCGAAAATGACCCATATGACAGGGGGTAGGTATTGATCCTTAAAAAAAAGGGTTAAATACACAACACCCCCTGTAATGTTAGCGAGTTTCGCTTTAATCCCCTGTAAAAGTTTTTTAAACCCCGTATTACAGCAAAGGTTCTCTCATTATATATTATTAATTATATATTATAAATTTTATATATAATCTTCTTTTTACGCCATGGGTCAATTGCTTTGATTCATTAGACAAGAGATTCATAACATGCAACTCAAAGTCTCTCACATAGGCAAACATGGGTCCATCAAGAGGCATATGTGAATCAATAGTGGGTGAAGCCGGTATACTTGGAAGCTTAAGCTCTGCTTTCGAAAGGGAAATATCACGAAAATAAATTTGTTCATTGGGACAGAACAATAACCATAACAAACTTGTTCAAATATGCTATAAATAAAAGTGGTTGCATTAATTTTCAAAACAAAGCATCTAGCCTAGTGGTAAATCAATACTTTACTGAGTCCAGAGGACTCAGGTTTGATCTCTTGTCTAATGAATCAAAGCAATTGACCCATGGCGCAAAAGAAAACGGTTTTGTAAGTCTAGTAGTTGATTAGTTGTTAACTTATTTGAGTTACTAAAATGCATCTCTGTTTTATGAAAAAAAACAGTTGATGTGTTATGGTCTGCATGATGTGTTACGCATCTCGAAATATCCCAACGTATATCAGTTGCGCATTTAACTTTGTCGAAAGTGTCTAGTTAATCATTGTACTGCTAAATTTTGTTAAGCTTGGTTCTTCCACCCTTGTTATCATCTACCCTTTGTTAATGGCTTATAAAGTAGTTAGGTGCATTGTATCTCTGCGTTTATAAAGTAGTCTTTCCCTACTTTTGATTGGGCAGGTTGCATAATAATTGCAATCAGAAATTATGATATTATTTACTATATGATTGTTCGTTTTGTGAACATTTTACTTAGGTTTTGTCAAATAGTGTTATCGATGGCGGATTGCGTACCATGGTAGAAAGCCAAATATATGCCATATTGATGGTCACTTGACAGTAAACATATTGCATTTACTAAATTTGATTATTCTGAAATATCGCCTTTTAGAATTATGCACCAAGGTAAGAGCTCAGCTGGCCTAGATGCACAAGAAGACCATTTGTATCCTTTTGCAGGAGCTTCAAATGTTAAAGTACCCCTGGGGTTTGTTTCGGTAGGTGGAGGCTCCACCATTTGAATGGATCTTGGTTGTGGGAGAGTGAAAGAATTGGATAACGAGGATGAATATTTGGCAAGAGTTAATTGGATGCATGGAAACATTCTCACTACTCAAATCATAAATAAACACCAGACTAAAATAAAGAGTTATCTCAATTCATATTAGACAATATTGAATTGTGTTTTCTATATTTATAACATGAGGAAACACAATATTGCTTCTTCTTGTTTCTCTTTTGTAAATCAAATAGTTAGCTTGTTTGCTTGAAATTTATGTTTCGATTAATGAATACAACATTCAAATTATATCAGCTTTCAACTGTTAAAGGTTTCATAAACATGCAACCTTCATTCAAAAATCATAAAATGTAATAAATGTTGGAAAGTATGCTAGTTATTAGCAAAAAAGTTGACAATGCCATTGGTATGTGCATGCTTAGGGATGGCAAAAAAAATCCATATCCGTGAATAAAATCCGTCACGGAAATGGGGCGGATATCGATAGCTTAATTGATATCCACGAATAAAATAAATGGATATTTAAATATCCGTTTGTTAATGGATATGAATATGGGTTTAATAATATTCATACCCATGAATATCCATATTTGTTTATAAGTTATAAAACTATTTAAATATCATTAGTTTATTATACCTTATCTTTTCATCTTCTAAAAAAGTAGTTTTCTTATACTTCTTTCTTTCTTTTTTTGAAATTTTCTTTGAAGAAAACCTTTCACTTTTTATTCAAATTCTATTAGTCATTTCATACTTAAACTCTTCGATACTTTATACCTCACTTCATCAATTTCACAGTCCAACCAACTAATATCGTCATTACTCTGTCGAACGAGTGTCTCCCTTCCTACTCCTCTATGGTCCGATTTTCCATCATAATTCGCAATCACAATATCTTTTATTTGTTTGGTTAAAAATGAAATGTATGGATATTATATTTGGATCTAATTATATTTTGGTGAATAAGAAAAAAATTAATGTGATGAAATTTTACTATTAAATTAAAAGCGAATTGTACGGATGTTATGTGATAATAACTTTTTGTGCTTTAAAAGAAGTTAAAAATATTTTTTTCAAAATTTTTTTTATAAAAAAATATTACCCATGAATATCTGTAGATACCGTAAAATCTGCGAATTACCCGCTTAACGGATATTTATATGAAAATGGAACGGGTATAGATATCATATTTATCTAACATGACAGATACAAATATCTTAGTAATTGCATGTTGGTTATTAGCAAAACTGTTGGCAAGGGAAGTGGTATCTGCACCTATTCAAATATGTTATAAATAAAAGCGATTGCATTAATTTTCAAAATAAAGCATCTAGCCTAGTGGTAAATTAATATTTTACCGAAGGAGATTAAAAGAGTGAAAAAGTATAAAAAAAAAAAAACTTAAAAAAATTATTTAAAAAAATATAGAGAAAAATAAATAACAAATAATAAAATAATTCACGTGAAATTGAAAATTAAATAAAAAATAAAAAAATACTATGTGGACTATCACGCTGACAAAATAAGAGAATTTTTGTTGCAATGTGACGGTCGATGGGCCTAGTGACGAAATTTGAATATAATAAAAGGAGGGAAATTTTACCCCATACCCCTACGATTATACCTATATCCCTATACTAAAAAATTTTGGACTAAAATACCCTCGTATAAAAGTTATAATTTTTTGGTTTGTTTACCGGAAGACTTTTTGGAAGTCTTCCGATTCACATTTTTTGTTTGTTTACCGGAAGACTTTTTGGAAGTCTTTCGGTTCACATTTTTTTTTATTTGTTTACAGGAAGACTTTTTGGAAGTCTTCCGGTTCATATTTTTTTAGTTTGTTTACAGTTGAAGCCTTCTGATTCATGTTTTTTTTTTAAGTTTTAATTTTTTTTTAATATTCAAATTACAAATATATTTATTCTATTTACTCTATTTTAGTTAATTAATATATTTATTCTATTTATTTATTTAATAATTATTATTTCACTAATTTGATTTTTTATTAATTTACTATATTTATTTACTTAATAATAATTACTCCACTAATTTAGTATTATTATTTGAATATTATTTAACATGTTTAATCAAATGAAAATATAAGTGATAAAACAATAAATTTTTAAACATTCAAATAAAAAATAATTTCATTGTCTTCAATATTTTTAGTCAAATAAAAATATAGGTGATAAATCAATAAATTTTAAAAATTTCAAATAAGTAATAATTTTGTAATATTAAATATTTCATTCAAATAAGTAATAATTATTATTAAGTAAATAAATATAGTAAATAGAATAAAAAATTAAATTAGTGGAGTAATTATTATTAAGTAAATAAATATAATAAATTAATAAAAAATCAAATTAGTAGAATAATTATTATTAAATAAATAAAATAGAATAAATAGAGTAAATAGAATAAATATATTAATTAACTAAAATAAAGTAAATAGAATAAATATATTTGTAATTTGAATATTAAAAAAATTAAAAATTAAAAAAAAAAATGAACTGGAAGACTTCCAAAAAGTATTCCGGTAAACAAACAAAAAAAATGTGAACAGGAAGACTTCCAAAAAGTCTTCCGATAAACAAACAAAAAAATGCGAACCGGAAGACTTCCAAAAAGTCTTCCGGTAAACAAACCAAAAAAATGTGAATCGGAAGACTTCCAAAAAGTCTTCCGGTAAACAAACAAAAAAAAATGCGAACCGGAAGACTTCCAAAAAGTCTTCCGATAAACAAACCAAAAAAATGTGAATCGGAAGACTTCCAAAAAGTCTTCCAGTAAACAAACAAAAAAAATGTGAACCAGAAGACTTCTAAAAAGTCTTCCGGTAAACAAACAAAAAAATTATAACTTTTCATACGAGGGTATTTTGGTCCAAAAATTTTCAGTGTAGGAGTATAGGTATAATTGTAGGGGTATGGGGTAAAATTTCCTGAAAAAAATTTAAAATTTTTTATAAAAAGTTAAAGCGAAACTCGCTAATATTACTAGAGATATTATGTATTTAACCGTTAAAAAGATAATGCATTTTAAAAACTTGTAGCATATGCCTTTTATATTATTTTTAGAATTTACTTTAATTAATTTAGATTCAAGGATTTAAGTATGCAATATTTATTTTATTTAAATATTTAAAAATATATATTAATATATAATATCAAATATATAAATAATAAAAAATAGACTTTAAAAAAATATTTATCGCGGAAGAATCTGATAAAAGTGACTAAAAGGTTGCATTTAAGTTTATTTGTCTTCAATTTCAGAAAAAAAGAAAAAAATTAAAAAACAATATTAATAAGATCACCCATCTCTAATATTATCAGGACAAAAAAAATGCATTTCAATCTTTTAAAAACAAATATTGTGATAAAATTTGTCATATACCTCTAGTAAAATATCCCATAAATTAATACTACAAACTTACTTACAAACCCATATTTTTTGTTTTCTCACTACTCACACCCCCTCCCCTTTTTCTACATAAAAGTTAACATTGTTAAGAATATATAACTAGCCAAATTCCCAAGTCCAAATCATCTTTCACATTGATACGAGTGAGGAAACCGCGTTGACAACACACTGTGTTTAACCTTCATTATCAATATGAAGATACCATAGCAGGGAATATGCAGTAACGCCATCGACAAGTAACTGAAAATCAATCAAATAGCAACTCTTTATCAAGATCAAATATCTTACAAACTCTAGAAAGAATCATTTAAAGAGAGAAAAAACTTCATACCATAATGGAGCATAGTGGGATGACAAGTCAAGAAATGTATACGGCCACCTGATTTTCCAGAACAAGAAACTTATGTTAGACATTTGTATTGTAGTAGCTGAACTGGGAAAACATAAAGAGAGTTGTTATTATTATTATTACCATAGTTTAACTATAGCATGAACAATCCATTGAAAAATGACATATGTAACTGTCCATAGGCAAAAGTATCCTATTCGAAACCAAGGAAAATGCTGAAGAGGACAAACAATTAGCAAGAGTAAGAATTCACAGTGTAGTAATAATCAAATATATAAATTATAAACTTACCAGGCAATTTAAAGCTGTGTCTCCTAACAGAAAAACAGCATTGATGGTATGCATACTTATGGTCAACTGCCACACATATACCAATTTATAAGTACACAATATAACTTATTTAAGTCAAAGTTATTAAAAAAAGTTATAAATTATATCCATGATACAATAAATATAAAATGATAGTGCACTTACTAAACTTATATTGTAATCTTTGATGGTTAAAAAAGGAACAATTATGAACCAAAATGCACAATCTGTCAGCATTACCGCACCTGCATTAATCTATTCACAAGAAACAAAATATCATGATATGGTTAATGGAAATTGGCAGAACTCAACCATACAAAATTGGCACGTAAGGTAAGGATTGCTCCACTTATAAACACATAATCAGACCATATATTGTCTGATGTGAGACTGTGGCTTGTGCTAGAAATTGATAGATATAATATAATCCGTGCAAAGCTTACCTGGAATAGTATTTGAAAGATATAACCCCAAATGCCGGCATGATTGCGGACAATATGTTCTTGTTGAGATTTATCATGACTAGATTGATTAGAACTTTGAGGCAGTATAGATGAATCATCAATTCCTTGCTCAGAATCTACATCCACATTGTTCACCTTATCCCCACTTGCTTTTTTATGATGTTGGTGACATCCATGCATGGACAGCAAACATCCTAGCTACAAAACAACATCAATAGCATAGCTGAGATTTGACACACATAATTAAGCAACATTGCTAATGAAAAAAATTATTAACTTTATATTACCCCAAAATAGACAGTAACTGAAGTAAAAGTCCACCTGTTTCACAGAACCAAAACAAAGAAAACATAACTATACAGCACTGATCCAGATTTGAATTCAAATGTAATTAAAATTGAAAACTTACTGAGTATAATAATAAAAAATGCTTCCTCCATCAATAGTAGCAGTGAGTATGAGAAGCACCAAAAGGACAATAAATGCAAAAACTCTAAAAGCTAACAACCATGCAGGGTGAATTCCTTTAAGACAAGGCTTCCATGTTTCATCTTCATACAAGTACAAACTTGATGATGATGATGATGTTTGTTTCTGGATTTCTATGTTATCATTTGTCTTTGACTTCCATGATGAAATTAAAACCTCATACTTCCATATAAGTAATAATGAAAAGATGGTTGAAAGAAGGATTGAAACGACACAAACAAAAAATTTCCAATTCAGCCAGTAACTTTGGATGGTTGTATCAGAAGTCATGATAGGATTCCAAGTTCCTTTGGAAGAGAACGTTACAAAGGTCATTGTGTAACTTACTTCTGATTATTGAAGAAAAATGAACAGATCCAATATTTCTTGATGGTACTTTGCTCAGAAACTTAGACCCCAAAAGACAAGATTGAAAAAAACTAAGATTAAGAACCAAGTAACAATAAAAAGCACATTGCAAGAACAAGACTATAAAGTAGTAACTACAAAATCACAGGACCATTCTATGCAGTCAAAAGTGAGGCCTAATAGGAAAGTGCACATGGGTTTCTTCTGCATTTCAAAAATCAGGATCAGGTGCAAATATTTTTGGGTCAGAAAGCACTAAAAAGTTGAACTCTTACTTACACAATTTGACCACATTAATAAATAAATGGTTTAATTATCGGATAATGTAGAGATTCTATTTCGAACTTTGGATAGATTTTAACACAGAAACACATAACCGACAATATTTGTTGTTTGTTAATGTGTCTAATATAAAGAAATAACATAGGTAAGCAAAGAAAAGGTTGAAAATTGCAAAGTATAAAGCAAGATAGGTAGTGGAGGTGAGAGAGAGAAGAGAAGAAATGCTTTTGCTTTGTATATAGGAATGAAAAAGATGGTGTGCGTGGAGCATAAGCTTCTTGTGTTGCTTTTCTTGTTATCCAACAAAAATCTTGCTCTAAATCCCATGCAAATATTAAATTAGTCTCAACTCAATACAAAAGACATGCATGTTTTTGTGAACTTTTCTTGGGTTAATAGTATTAGATTATTTTTTAAAAATTGGACAGAGAAAGAGAGAGGAAAAGGACTGGACAAGGAACAATTGTGTTTGGGTTTTGTATTGGAATGGTTGGAGTAAGTAAAGATGCTTCATGTATTCCAAGAAATACGAATCGTTTTGCTTCAATGCATGAGTCATGACTTGGTGACAAAGTAAATAAAGTGTTACTGTTAGGAGAGAAAGGGGTGACAGGGAAAAAAGAAAAAGAGAGAATAAAAATAAAATGATTATCTCAAAATTTCTCTATGCTACTTTCTCTTTCCTTTATTTTTTTATGAATTTTTGAACAATATGAATTGGAGATTTCTGATAATCACCATCAATTGATTCATTTTCTATTTCTCCCTCTCTTGGGTATGTAGGGATTGGAAACAGAACACAATTTCAACAGTCTATAATCTGTACTATGTATAAATATTGATTTCTTTTTTTTTGAGTATTTCACACTTCAATTCAACAAAATACATGTATCTGGAAAATTTATACTCCGAATGGCTTTGAGAACAATAATCCTTCCTTCCCATACTCCAGAAGCTAGTAAATGGACATCTCTGAAGGTGATGCTGCTGTTCAATCTCAAATAGTATTACAGTCTTCATCTCCTAGCAAAGCGAGAGAAAAGGGGGCAATGACTGCATTAAATGAACGCGAGCCTACTCGATCAACATGGATCATCTCATATTCACCTTCCTGCATTATTATAGAAATTCCCGGTTTAATATTGGATTTGATAAAGACACAATTAGAAAGCCTTCAAACGAGTCTTAAGTTAAGCAATCAAAATGCAATCATCGGACATTTTAATAGTACAATTTCTCAATTTTACACCAGTTTCGACTCAAAGACATAGGCAACATTGTTGTGAGGTTAAGATCATGATAACAACTCCCTATATGTCAGTGCTAAAAATATTTATGAATCAAAGGAAAATATGCTGCAGTCCATCATTTCAAAGCCTGTAAAACATGGTTTAAATAAAGCTTTCACTTTTGCATTCTTTTCTTTCCGAATGATATGTTGATTTATGCAAGGAAATTGTAACCAGAGAGGAAAAAACAAAGAAAAAGAAAACTTTCTTACCATTCTACCATTTGATGTGCTTAATGGGCATGCAGAAGAGTACTCAAAACTAGTCCTGGGAAGAAGTACCGGCTGTTCACCAACAACACCAATCCCCCTGTCATGTCGAAAATAAAACACACAAGTTATGTTGAACTTGAATCTTCAAAGGTTTAAAACAGGAGCACCGACACTTCTGAAAAACAGTGTGTCTGTGTCCGTACTTGTGTCGGACACCTGTACCGACACTTGTCATTACGTTTTACTAATTTATTTTTTCAAATTATTATTGGTGTCGCCGTGTCAATGTCGGGGTCGTGTTCGTCGTGTCTGTGCTTTATAGTAATTTACTAAGTTGGATAAGGTACATAAATCAAAGCTATTGTGTTTGACGTTAACCAAGTGCCATGTTGATTTAAAAGGGAAAAGGAAGACACCTCTGGAATAATTAACTCACCATACATTTTCTGTTTTCCCATTTGCGTCGGTTATAATCCAATGCCTTCTAAGAAGTTGAACGGTGTCATCTGAGTTATTGGTAATTCTTATTCTATAAGCAAAAAAATATAGCCCCTTTGAAGGCTGACTTCTTCCTTCTATATAGACACTCCTGACTTGAACCCTGACTCCCTGAGTAAGATGAAATTAAATGTCAAAAGTTGAATTTCTCTTTTTCATGTGTAAGTTTGTTGTGTAACACGTGAAATACAGGTTCATTTAAGACATCAATGGAAAGAAAATCTATTTTCATTATAGGATCACTGCAAACCAAATGGGAAGATGAATAGCTTTTACCAGAGAAGAAAATATAACATTTTTGTGAGAATTACGAAACCCGGGGAGTATATATCATAGACAAATGCTCAATCCACACAGTTTAATGATATTGAATATTCCATTTTCAAGACATGGTATTAAGTTAATTGTTCTACTGATGCAATCAACTTTAAAACACCATTCGAAAAAGAAAACTTTCTAAGTTAATTGTATTTCTCATGATATAGCTTAAATCAAAGAAAGAAGTATTTGCAATACACTAAGTTAAAGAAGTGATCATACCAATGTTGTAGCATCACTGGAACATTTTAAAAGAGAGTGTGGAGCAATTCTTTTTAGCTCGTCACGATAACTAGCTGCATCCTAGAAAAACAAAACGAAGAATGAGTGTCAACGTGTATAATTCATGAGGCAATTATACGTCAATCAGAATAAAAAACTGTAAATATAGGTCTTGTGTTGTCAATTAGAGCTGAAATATGCGAGGTATGCTGATCTGACAGAATGCCAAAAACAAAACTACCAAAGAAACATAATATGGAGTTCTGAGAGACAGTAGACATGTTTAAGTACAACATCTAATTTAATGGTTGAGTTGAAGCTTGAAAGAAACAATTTTTATTGAATTTTGAAACATGGGGTCAGGCACAACCAGACTCCAACGAATTTGAAATCTGCTTAAATGTATTATCTATTATGATCATCTCTACAAAAACACAAAAACAACTAATCATGATTTTAAATTACAGTTGCAATGGTGGTTATACAACAAACCTTTATATTGCATGAAAGTGCGGGAAATTGTGGCTGATTTGGCTGTAACTGCGGTTGCAAACCACAAATTCGAACCATGTTGTTCATTGGCTGTTAAGTACAAACAACAACCAAGCCTTACTAAATAGAGTCGGCTACATAAATCAACTTCAACCATAACGTTCTAATCCAGAACCATGCGTCTCTCCAAATCGTTAATCTCTAGATCTTTCTTAATAAATCCTCTTATAGTTTTTCTAGGTCTTCCTCTACCTCTAACTGTTTGACTTCTCTCCATCTAATCTACTCTCCTTACCACAGAATCTATGGATCCTCTCTCTACATATCCAAACCACTTCAGTCTATTTTCCACCATCTTTTCTACTATAAGTGTCACTTGACCACTCTTTCTAACATCGTCATATCTAATCTTATCATGAACTAGTCTTACCACACATACAAGCAAAACATTACATTCTCTTTCTAACACACTCTCTGATCTATAGTTAGGTGAGTTTCTCACTCACATCACATTATTACATAGTACCAATAAAAAATCTAATTTCAAAACACACCTTCACAAAATTCAATGTGAAACTAAAGTTAATTTCAACTTAATCAATAATAATAATAATAAATAAATAAATAAGCACCTGAAATCTCTCATCTGCAATTGCTTCCTTGATTAACCTCCTTAACCGCAAAACAGGCTCTTCTTCTTCAAATAACCTAAGCGAATCTCGAATTCTAGCAGCTTCCTTATAATCCTACACAAAATCCTCAATTCTCATCTTCGAGTTTCAGATTCAACAATCGATAATAACAAAAAAGAGAATACTAATACTATTACTATTACTAACCTCTAATTTAGCCGCTAATTCCATTTGTATTTTCAACAGAGCGTACGTTTGGGTCCGAGACAGAAACGAGGTTGGAGTCTCTTTATCCGAATTATTACCACATGCCACCACGACGCAATTGCTACTCCTTCTCTTCAGCTTCATTTCCTGACCCATCAACCGTAATCCCGCCAGACTCTTGGTACTGCTCAACGATAACGATTGCATTTTTTCTTCGAATTTTGATTTCAGTTTCTGATTTTGTTCTGGTTGTGTAGAGGGAGCGGGCCAATGCTTGCTGCGTTTCGCTCGCGGGTCTGGTTGGATGGTTTTTAGATCAAATCCAAGTTACAGAATTGGCCCTTGGGGTTGGTTCTTGTGTTGAGGGTATTAACGGAGAAATGTGCAAATGTTTCTATGGAAATTATAAGATGTACGTGTCATGTATAACAGCATGAGATAAGATACTATTTACTCTTTATATGGTAACCGCAATTATTGTGTTGCACATTATTCAACTTCAAAGTTAGTGGATAACTCAACTCATTCATCATACTCTAGTGATTGTTTATTTTTTCTCAAGCATTATACCGTAATTAAATTTGTCTATCTATGTGAGTTTTTTTATTACTATTTTTTAAGCCAACCTATGGGTTTGCAAAACCCACAACAAAAAATATAAGAGCAAATTCAAAGTAGAATGTGTTAAAGTGTGTCTTAAAATTTGAAAGTTGACAAACATTGGTGGTGAGCCGATGCGGTGGGTTTGATCTCTGACAATCGACATTAACAGTGGTTTGATTGTTGGTCAGATTTGGTCCATGCAATTTTTGTGTATCACGTTTGGTTAATTTGTTGCCTTATTACATAGAGATTTGATTTTGCTAAAGACAATTTATTTTGGTTGTCATTTTTTTTTGTTCTCACGCATTAAATTTTTTAGTGTGATTGAACCTTTAAATTTCACAACATATCCTACTGTAAGAAAGATGTATTAAAGCATTAAAGGGGTGAGGTATCGATGCTTGCAATGCCTAACACAAGCGGGTAGTACAAAGATGGTGGGTAACGCCAAAAATTCCACTATTTTGTGCTTCAATGATAAATTTCAAAGGGAGGTCGCTAAGGAGAATATTACAGCTTCAATGTGGGAAAAAATTGAATAATTGTATATGACTAAGTCTTTGGCACACATATTGTGTTTGAAAGAACAACTCTACTCATTTTGAATGGTAGAGAGAAAATTCATAATTAAATATTTGGTAGAATTTCATAAGATTATTGATGATCTAGATAATATTGAGGTGAAGATTTAAGGTGAGGACAAGTGTATACTCGGGGTGAACTCATTATCCAAATCCTTTGAGCACTTCAAGAATGCCCTACTTTATGATAAGGAATGTATTATTACTTTGGGTGAAGTCTAGCCAGATGTGACAATATTTTCAAAGATGAAAGATTTGAAAATTGACGAAGTGATGAAAGGTGGAGTGTCTAAAGAGAAGGAAGTGAGCATAAAGGGATGTCCAAATCAAAGAGGTTTAACAACTCGAGGTTAAAAAATTTTATTTGTCATAAACTCGGTTACTTCAAGAGGGATTCTCCCGAGAGAGAGAGAGAGAGAGAGAGAGAGAGAGAGAGAGAGAGAGAGAGAGAGAGAGAGAGAGAGAGAGAGAGAGAGAGAGAGAGAGAGAGAGAGAGAGAGAGAGAGAGAGAGAGTAAAATGAATATTATGTTTAGATTGTTCATGTCTCAGATAAGATAGTTATAAGAGTGTTGATATTCTAGTAGTGTCGAGTTTAGAGACTGAATAGAGTTGGATAATATACTTAGGTTACTCTTATCACATGTATCTAAAAAAAAAGAATACTTAGAGAATTTGAAGTTGAAGCAAGATGTAGGAGTGTGATTTGGTGACAATAAAGTTTGCAAGGTTCATGGTGTTGGTATGGTCAAACTTAAAATATTCGATGATCGTGAGTTTCTTCTTCATAACGTGAGGTATGTTCCAGAGTTTATGCAAAAAAAATTATCCATAAGTGATCAGTGCATATTTATGCACATTCTCCTACATTTTTACTTAGGCATTTCTTTATGTTATTTTGCTTATTATTATATTTTATCATGTTTTCTTATTTTATTTTATTTTTGATTTAATTTAATTTTCGCAACTATTTTTCAGCTTTAGCAGTCTGCACGGAAACGATCATAACTGGAGTTTCGGGAATCCGATTGAGGCGTTCTAAATATCGCCGGAAAGCTAAGAGAGAGAGAGCTACAACTTTCATGTTGGAGCCAAAGTCAGATTCGGAGCCCAAAATTCCAGAATATTCGTGGAAGTCAGCATTAGGAACCAGTTTTAGTTTTAAGTCAAATATTTGTTTTTGGGCCTGGGTTATATTTTTGACCCAGTTGGATTTTTAACCAATTCCATTACTTTGTAATACGTGTGTTACGATGAAGATTGACACAATTGAGAATTCACGAAAAAAGAGAACTTGAAGCTTTGTATGAGCCTGATGGAGAACTAATACCTCCAAGTTGATCTGCTGTAACCGTATCTCCAAAATCTTTGAGGTTAATATAATTTTCAAGTAAATTTGATTCCCTTTTCAATTTCCTCTATAATTCCGAATGCTTTATTCATTGCCATTGTTTGCTTAATTCAATTGCATATTTTATAGAATGAAATTGGATTAATTCGATTGATATATGTTATGTTGATCGTAACCGCGTTTGCTTAATTTGTGTTTGCGTTATCTGTTTGCTTAATTCAGATTAGGAACATAAATCATATATTAGTTGCAATCACGCTTGTTAATTGTTACTGTAATCGAAAGGGAATGGGATAGGACTTGAGAATTGTATGATCGATGATGAGTGGGAGAACGAACAGTAGATTGACTTATTTCATAAACCTTTTTTCTCAACCCTTATTTTAATCAATCACTTTTTCACTCTTAACCCAATCCAAACCCCCAAATATTTAGTTACTGTTATCGTTTAACAACCACGAGAATCCTTGCGATACGACTCGAGTCACTGTCGCTATATTACCTTTCCTTACAACAAACTCGTTTTTGATCCGCGAGCGACCGCGGATCAAATTGGCGCCGTTGCCGGGGATTCTTGTGTTATTAAACATTTTTAGAGTCATAGGTTTATAGTTGTCGCGCGTAGGCCCTAGGATTCCCATGTTTCTGGCCTTCTCGCGTTTTAGAGTCCAAAACGTAAAAAAATCTGTTTTTTTGAAAATTTCGTCTGAATCAAAATCTGTTCCGGGCATTTGAAGCAGAAAAATTAGTTACGGGAGGTGTGGTTTCAAATTCCCAAATTCATCATTTTTCTATTTTTTATGAATTTTTTACTGTTTTCATAGAGTAAAAAAAAATCAAAAAAATTCTCAAAATTATCTTTTTAAGTCATTAGACCAATTCTGGTGTTAGTTTATTTTTCTGGATTTATTTTGACCGATTTGCTTCTTTGTGTTTTTTTTTTTTTACTTTTAGGGACATTGTTGGCATTTTGAGTATTGTTACTGCATTGCTGTGCATTAGTCCTGGCAACTAGGTCATCTTGTTCTGATATTGTTGCTTTTGATCCTGAAGTAGAGAGAACTTTGCACACACGACGTAGAACAGTCCAGGCTAGTTCACCACACATGGCTGATAATAGAACATTAAGGCAGTTAGCTGCACCTGATGTGAATTACAATGGTCTGTGCATTGAGTATGCTGCTGATGCTGTGCCTTTTGAGTTAAAATCGGGTTTAATCCATTTGTTGCCTAAGTTTAGTGGTCTTGCAGGTGAAGATCCTCACAAACATCTGAAAGAATTCCAAGTGGTGTGTTCTACGCCACTGAAGCCTGAAGGGATCACTGAAGATCATATCAAACTTCGAGCTTTTCCTTTTTCATTGCAGGGTGCAGCAAAGGATTGGATATATTCCCTCGAGCCAAATTCAATTGCAAACTGGAGTGCTCTGAAAAAAGTGTTCCTTGAGAGATACTTTCCTGCATCCAGAGCTGCCTCGATAAGAAAAGAGATATGTGGTATTCGACAGGGTAATGAGTCTTTGACCGAGTATTGGGAGAGATTCAAACATTTGGTATCCAGCTGCCCTCAGCACCAGATCACCGAGCAACTGCTCATTCAGTACTTTTATGAGGGTTTGTTACCGATGGATAGGAACATTCTTGATGCTGCTAGCGGTGGAGCACTTGTTGATAAAACTCCAGCTGCTGCCAAGGCTCTGATTGAGAATATGTCACTAAATTCCCAACAGTTCTCAACAAGAGATAATTTTGTCCAAATAAAGGGTGTGAACGAAATTCATGTATCCTCTCATGTTTCTCACTCCGACAAAGCCTTCGAAAATAAAATGAATGAGCTGAAGGATCTAGTGCAGCAGATGATAGTCGTAGGTAAGGCTCAAGCCACCCAACAACTTCAAACACCACCAAGGTTATGTGGCATCTGTACCTCTTCTGAGCATCCTACTGATACATTGAAGGTGAGAAAATACTTAGAAGGGGGGGTTGAATAAGTATGACAGAAAATAATCAAAGATAAAAACTCAAGTATTTTTATCCTGGTTCGTTGAACTCAACTACTCCAGTCCACCCTTTTCAAGAGTGATTTGCCTTTCTCAACAAGGACTTAATCCACTATTCAAATCAACTGATTACAAATAGCAACACCTAAGAACAACTGTTCTTAGTCTTCTCAAGAGCTACTGATCTAACCTAGATCCTCTTAAGGAAAACTTCCTTTACAAATTAATGTAATACAATGTAAGAGTAATAAATTGCTTCTATGAAAGCTATAAACACAACTGTGTTATTTCTCTAAGTTTAGAACAAAGTATGAACAGCAAAGAATATGAGAGCTTGAGAGTTTTTCGCGTGAGAGTGTTCTTGCAATGATTTCGTCACTTGAAGAATGAGCTATGATTTCCTTTATATAGCCACTTGAATATTGGAGAGAATATTTTACCGTTGGAGAAGATATTTCCAATATCAAAAAGGTACAGTCCTTTGTACTATTGCAGCAGAGAGACGGCGCACAAAATGTGGGTGTAGCAATTGTCTGCTGAGCTGTGAATTTACCATATATGGAATGTATCAGAGGAATAATCTTCTTGCAGAGATTTATGTCTATCCCAATTAAGGAAAGATTTGCTGGCATATTCCAACGGATATATTAAAATAATCTTCTTCAAATAATTC